ACTGTCACCTACTGTGGGTCGCATTGATTTCACTTGGCTCCAAGCGGGAGCAACCGGCCAGCAGATACCTGTGAATCCCCTGTTCTATCTCCTTAAAACTACTTCTTCTTTCTCTTACAGATTATAATTGCATACTTTATATATGTAAATATAAATACCTATTCATTACTGAGATTTACCTTAACTAAAATGCGATTATAATCGATTCTATGCAAATCGAAAAAAGTTATCGATGCACCTAATACAACTTACTCCAGACAGGGCTTCGTCTACTTGGCACTTGCATCTGAGAATATATATATATAGATATATACCTATATATACTGTGTGGAATCAGCCACGCATGATTCTGTCTGTTAAGTACCTGAGATCCCATGTTGAATGGGTAAAAAGTCGACATCGCTCTTATATATACAAGATTCAAAGCACAATGTGGTGTAACAGCAAGCTTGTTGGTAACATCTGTTAAGTGGATTTCTGTTATGTAATAGCAATGTAAAGCTGTCTGAGCAGCTGTTAACAGCTGTTAAGCTAATATTTAATATGTAACAGCAATGTTAAGCTGTGTCTTACGTCTGTTAAGTCAACATCTGTTGTGTAGCATTAATTTTAAGCAACTGCTAGCATATGTTGTTAGTTAAACAACTTTAAATCAATCAGCTAACATCTAAGTATTTTTTAGCTAAATAAAGTGCGCGTTTTGCCCACTGTAGCAGACGTCTTTCAATATACGCAGCATATATTGCGGAGCCAAGCACATAAAAACCAAAGCATACTTCGCAGCTTGCTCAATAAAGCAAACTCAATATGATTTGATATATGTGTGTGAATGAGTGAGTGTGTGTATGTGTGTGTATACGTGAAAAAGAGCGAGAAAGAGTGAATGAGTGAGGGAGCTGCAGTCAGCGGCTGCCAAGTTGTATTAACTGCTAAGCACAGCTGGCTCGACTGTAGGTCAGGACAGGTGGCCCAGGTGCCTTAGCTAGCTGCCACGCCCGCAGACCCAGCCGTTATGCTTCACATATATTCATACACATTTGCCTGTGTATGCGTGTGTGTGTAAGCTGCTTGTAATGAAGTGTGTTGAAAAAGTAATTAAATGTCGAAACTGAGACGAACAATTTGGGCTCTGCCTCAGCTGCTTTGTGCACAAAAACTCGAATGCCTTTCATTGTGTGCGTGGCTGTGTGTGTGTGTGAGGGTGTGCTTGTATGTGTGGCATAAATTTGATGCCTAATGATTTTATGATAATTAGCCTTAGTTTCGCAAAGTGCTGTAAAGCGATTAGTGCGCTGACTAATTAAGGCTGCGACTCGCTTTTGACAAGCGGCGACATTTACAAAGTCCTCAAGCTGAAATCACAGAGTTTAAGGATCACAGCAGAGCGCATTATTTATGCAAATGCGTGCACGTGTATGTGTGTGTGTGTGTAATTTATGTGCACTACATTTTCGCGCCTGTCACATTTAGCCGTAGTTCAGCGGCTGTCGGGGCGATTGACCCACATCAAATGTAATTGCTCCAACAATAAAATACCAAAAAAGGAAAGGGTAACTGCTCTGGTGGTCTGGTCTGTTGTCCTGGCCTGGCCAGCGAGTGGCTGGCTACTTAGTATTGGACACGAACTCCGTCCGGCAATTGAATGAATGGAGTGCGTTCCGCCGCATATGCATGTAAATTGCCAATTGCAATTCCAATTCCAATTCTGAATCCGATTTCAACTTCGATTGGCCATGCGGCCCAGCTACGTGCAAAAAGTTCCTATAGTTATTCCCAACTTCAGTGCAGGCCCTGGAATCTGCTGGCCGCTCTCTGCTCAATATGTTGACCGCTTTTAGGCGTAAATATTTGTGCTGGCCCACTCTGTGTGCATGTGTGTGTGTGTGTGTGCATGTGTGCGTGTGTGTGTGCTTATGTCCATCAGTCCACTTGACCAGCTGGTCCAGTATGTGTGACCATAAAACGAATAATACATACAACAACTGAGCACGGCCCGAGGACTCCGGCTCGTAAAATAAAAACAACACAATGAATTGTTTATTCGAGTGAGCCGAAACTGAAATGTCGTTGCCATAGGCGCATTCTGTTCCATTTTTCCTCTTCATCCCTTCCCTCTTCTCTTTTCAACTACTTAACGCTTATCTTGTCCTTCATTTCATTTCTATCAAAATCATGGTCAAGGCATTTCCCTCTGTTATACTTAAAGTCTGTCTTAAATTAAGAAATGTTATTCGACAAGCTGTTATCATTGTTAACCCTGTTATCCCTCTTATCCCTGTTACCCCTGTTAACCCTGTTAACCCCGTTATCCCTGTTATCCCTGTTAACCCCGTTATCCCTGTTATCCCTGTTATCACTGTTATCCCTGTTATCCCTGTTATCACTGTTATCCCGGTTTTCCCTGCTGTCTGTTATCCCTGTTACCACTGTTAACCCTGTTATCACTGTTATCCCGGTTATCCCTGTTATCCCTGTTATCCCTGTTATCACTGTTATCCCGGTTTTCCCTGTTGTCCCTGTTATCCCTGTTATCACTGTTAACCCTGTTATCACTGTTATCCCTGTTATTCATGTTATCACTGATATCCCTGTTATTAATGTTATCCCTGTTATCCCTGTCATCCCTGTTATCACTGTCATCCTGGTTATTCCTGTTATCCCTGTTATCCCTATTATCCCTGATAATCCTGTTGTCCCTGTTATCCCTGTTATCACTTTATCAATGTTAACACTGTTATCCCTGTCATCCCTGTTGTCTCTGTTATACCAGTTATCCCTGTTATCCCTGTTATCTCTGTTATCCCTGTTATTACTGTTATCTTGTTCGTTTTTCTTCAACGATGGCATTTCTTCTATACCATTTCATTTATTTCACAGAAGATTTTTAAAATCTGTATAAAAATCGTCCATACTCAATTTTGTTATTCGAAATGTTCTATTAAAGTTATTATTTTTTGTCAATAGGACTTTTATGTCCTTCGAAATTGGTCTAATCTTCGCCTCCACTAACGAAATTTTACCCTAGAGCCTCTCCTTCTCTTCTTCGTCTCCTACGGTAAATTTTTCAAAGGTTTCTAGCTATGTGGAGTAGTTCATTCAGATTTTTTAGTTTCTTTAAAAAAAGGATGATACTCGAGTCAACCCCTTCATTTATTTCTCAAAGGTCTTCAATTTTTGAGCTCTTCTATTTATAGCTTTGACTGTCCTCACTAATTAGCTCGTTGTTGTTTCAATTAAAAGCCATGTGCTTGGCTAGTTTCACGTCAAAGAGTAAACGAATCAACGAGTTAACGATTGAACGAATCAACGATTCAATAAGCCGGTCAGTCGACGAGTCAATCAATAGCGAGTCAATGATTCAATGAGTTCACGAGTCCACAAATCAACGACTCCCCGATTCAAGGAATCTTCGAGTCAATTAGTCAACGAATTAGTGATTTAAGGAATCAACGAATCAATTATTCATAGAGTCAATGAATCAATGATTGAAGGACTCAACGATTCAAAAAGTCAATCAATCAATGAGTCAATCAATGATCAATGATCAATGATTCAATGAGTCTACGACAAATCAACGACTCCACGATTCAAGGAATCAACGAATCAGTGAATCGAAGAGCCAGCGAATCAAACGATTCAAGGAATCAACGAGTCAATCAATTGCGAATCAATGATTCAACGAGTCTCCGATTTAAAGAATCAATGATTCAAGGAGCGAGTCAATTAGTAGAAGAGTCAATGAGTCAACGAGTTACCGACTCCAGGAATCAACGAGTCAACGAGTGCTACATAAATTGCTTTTGGTCCAAGCAACGAGCTCGCCAGGTAAGGCAGTTATTCGCATTTACGATTTTCATTAAATGCCAGGTGAAGTAATTATTTAACTCGTGTAATTTCAATTTGTGAATTCTCTGGCGAATCGTTTTTTACGGCCAATATCACCAGCCAATTGCCGTTGCTGTTGCCGTTGCCACTGCCACTGCCGTTGCCCATCAAATGCACTGTCAATATTTATTACACAAATTATGCATGATGGGCTCTGTTGACGGCGACGGCGACGGCGACAGCGACAGCGACGTCGACAGCGACGTTAGAGGTTCATAAAACCGCGCTCACATACAAATTATTTTTGCGTTTTATTTATTTTGGAAATTGGCCGTAATTTATTCATAAGTCCCCACAGTATGTAAATATTTATATTTATGCATTATGGCGCTTCTTTTTCTACTTTTCAAAAAAAAAAAATTTCTAATTTTTTTTTTCTACTTTTTTTTAATGTTTTTTTGACCGCTTTGAGCGCTGAGAAATGCACAGAGTGAGGCCGCAAATCGCACGAGCGTTTTTTAACGCAAGCAATTCATTTGCCTCGCTGTTTTTCTGTCAATATGTGTGTGCGTGTGGGTGTGGGTGTGCGTGTGTGTGCATATCTGCTCGCATTAAATTGAATACAACGTGTAATTTTATTTATTCAAAGTTAAATGGCGGCAAATAGTATAAAAAAGCGAAAGAAAGAAAGAAAAATGTGGAAATGCATTTTCATTTTTATTCTCATTTAAGCGTGAGGCCCGCATACCCTGCACCAATTAAGCATGACGTTGCGTATGCGTTCGTAGCACATAAGATCGATAAATATCGCTGACTAACGCTAAGCGTTGCCACATCCAGGATATTTCTCTTGGAGCTTCGACTCTTGCCACGTTGGCCTCACCTGTCAATCGCAGGGTATTTGCCAGTCAGCTAGCCCCCCATTGTTTATATAGATATACATTATATTATTTTTTTTTGTTTTTAATTAAAAGCACATTGAAATGGGGGCCTGTGTGAAAACTGTGTGTGCAATAAATTATGGCAATTGGCTGAAAGACAATCAAAAAGAGGGAAAAATGAAAAAAACCAAAATGGAAACTGGAAAATAAATGTTGGAATGCATGCAGCTGCTGGTTCATTGTAAATGTTGACAATTTGAAGGAAATGAAGTAGTTGGAATGAAGTAAACTCACCTTTTCGCCGCTATCCGATGGCAGGTAAAATACCAAAATTGTTAAAAAACTGATGCCCATACAGGGTATGATCAGGTTGACCGTGTAGAAGAGCGTCTTTCGTCTCATTGTGATGTTAAATGTTATATCCAGATATGGCTCATCGCAGCACGTATAGAATTTTTCATTTCTATAAAGCCACATTATGGAACAGAGGAGAGAGAGAGAAAGACAGAGAGAGATGTGTATTGGTTAGAATATGCCACATAGCTCGTAAATGTTTATTTATTATAGTCTGTTGTTTGCTGCTTCACAGACAGCACATCCGCAGAGCCAACATACATTTATTATGTATGTACGTATGTGTGTGTGCTGGTGTGTTCTGGCGTGTGTGTGTGTGTGTGTGTGTATGGCAAGCCCAAAGCACATAAATCATCAGCGCCACGATAAATATTGAAAAAGCTCCAAATAATTTCTAAAGGCTGACCCCAACTCCAACTGCCCGCTGCGAGTCCGCTCTGAGTCTTTGAGTCTCCAATTTCTCCAGCTACGCCCCCGCACTCTCCGCTCCCCCCTCGTGCAGCTCGTGCATGCTGGCTAATGAACTTGACACGCGGGCGGCCGCGTTGCCTATTGCCATTCCTGTCGTCTACATAATTTAAAAGTTAATAATCTTTAACTGCCAAGCACAAAGAAGAAAAATACGAAGTACAAAATACAGAATACAAAATACAAAATACAAAATACAAAATAAAAACAAAAACAAAAACTGAAACAGAAAGCAAGCAAATTTTGTAAATTGAGTCAAGAACTTTTTGGCGACCGCACTTGAAAAACTCTTGAAGCGGTAGCATGGGGCGGAAAGAAAAAATAAATAAATAAGAGAAAATAATAAAAAACGAAAACGAAGGAGGCAAAGGAAAAGAAAAAGGCAAAGGAAAAGGAAAAGGAGCGAAATGCCTGGCAGCTAGAGAATATTAGTGGGCAAAGGGTTCAGTTGACCCGACCCGGGCCACGACTCGTATGTTTGCCATCAATAATTCCGAGCGGCTTGCGGCTTCATTTTGAATAAGAAAATATTGTAAATAAATAATAAACAAACAAGAACTGGCCGGGGCTAGTAGTAGTCGTAGTAGTTGGTCGCCGTATTCGGTCAAGACAGCTAACTGTATCTGGCAGTTGATGTGCCAACACACACACACACACACACAGAGACACACACACATATGAACTGTGGTTAGGCACGAGGATAATGATGACGATGGCGATGACGACGGAAACTGGCAAGGGCACGGGACGGGCACGGGCACAGGCACAGGCAAGCTGCTTCGACAGATGCTTATCGAATGACCAATATAAAATGAGTAAAATATGCTCAGCTAAGCGCTGGACAGTTGCGCTGCAGCAGTTATTTATTCAGGAAAACTTCAGATGTCAGTCGAACCCCGATAGCCAAATACAAACACCATACACACGGCTTAAGGCTTACGGCACAAAGAATCTTTAAAAAGTCAAAGCTCAATTATAGCCAAGAGTGAGCTACTCGAACCACATCCCATCGAAAGGGCTTCCCAGCCGAAGTGTTTGGCAGTTATCTCTATTAGGTAAGCTCTATACACTCTGTTTACAGATGATGGCCACATTATGGCAGCCGACAAGGGTCGTCTCGACTATTTGCTTGTCTCTGTCTCCAAGTGTGTTGCCACAAGCAAGTGCTTTTCAAACTGTTAAGTGACGTCAGAACGACTTTGGCGATGGCCAATGAGCATAACAGAAACGTATCGATGTTTGGGGAAGCTCATTACCAAATTTAGTTGGCCTATTTTTTAACGGCTCTAGCACTTTGCAAGCGACACAACTGAGCCTGGTTTAGTTGGGAGTGAGCGACGAAGTGATACCACGAAACAGCAATCTTTTCTTGAATGGGGAAGGTATGTATAAGGAATTGAAAAGATTCACAATCTGTGTATTCAGCGCCGGAAATGTTTTTATGGACGTCAAGATATGCTTTAAAAGGCAATCGATTTGTATCGGTAATTAGGAAATTGGATATTGTTTACAAAATAATAGCCAAAGTTTTCAAGTCTCTAGCTTTTGTGGCTTACGAAACACAACTGAATCGGGCCAGTGCATCGTCCTGATCCAGAACATAAATGGGATCAGCCAGGCCTCTTTCTTTGACAGCAATATTCACAGATTTATATATTGAATCGGGTATAAGTTGAGAGTAATTGCAATAGCAGCTCGCTTAGGTCAAGCTGGGTATCCGCTAGTCGGGCACTTCCAACCAGAGAAGCCTTGCTTTAAATTCTCGTAGTTCATAATTCATTTTTGCCCTGTAAGCTGTGCGGGCTTTAGTTCTGTAGAGAAATACATTTGATAGTCTGTCTCTTTCCCTCAGTTGCCGTCCCTTTTCAGTCTTTTCGAGTGAATGTTCGCGGAAAAAAGCGCAACTTTTATATTTACTGGCAATTGTAATGCACATCTGGGCAGAGTCTTACAATTCAGCGTGGCATTGCCACGAAATGCACAAAATAAAAAAAAAAAAAAAACAAAAAAATGCGTAAACGAAAAGTAATTTGTCAGCTAGCATCAAGTTTGACTGAAGCATGAAAAAGCGGGTAATAAAATCCAAAAAAGAAAAGAGAAAATTAATAAAGACAAGCATAAGAAGGCTTAACTGAGCTTTACTCAATGAGCTGGACACTCTAGTTCTTTGGATCGTTCGCTCTATCCCCAAGCAGCTCCCAACTTGGGGCCACTTGCTCGCTCGCATAGACAACTCGGAGAACTCTTAAGCTTCAAAGCATCGACATGGCAAATTTTTGCCTTTACATTATTTTTACTTAAGAGAAACATGTGAGTGTGCGTGTGTGTGCGTGTGCAAAGGTCAGCGTAATAAGCTCTGAGATGGCTAAGTTAGTTGGTTAGCTGCGGGGCAGCTGAGAAAAAATATACAATAAATCATAAAATAGGCAAAGCCAGGGCACACGCCAGCAATTCCAAACCCATGATGCTGCTCCTGCTGCTGCTGCTGCTGCTGCTGCTGCTGCTGGTATTATCTTGAGTGGGTGGCTAGGAGCAAAAGTCGCACACATGAGAGCCGACGCTAGCGCGTGTCTGGGCACGTCTGGACACGTCGTCGCCGTTGTTGTTGACGTTGTTGTTGTTGCTGTAGATGGTGGCGCCACGTGGGCAAATCCAACAGCATCAAACATCAGGCAGCAACCGAGCAACATCAACAACAACGATAATGGCAACAAAAGGCATAGTTGATGTGACTGGAGGTTGGCAGCACCAACAGCAGCAGCAGCAGCAGCAGCAGCCATGTAGCAGTGCCAACAATTCATCAATGCCTTGTACGATGCGGCGTATGCGTAATGAAAATGCCCATGAGCTAAAGGAGCGAAAACACACAAAGCAAGCGACATGCAGCAGCGGAAATTCCACTAAAAGACGTCGTCTCTCGCGACACAAGTGAAGCTGAAAGGATTCGGTTTGCTTTTGCTGTGATGCTTGAAACATTAATAATAATAATATTGTGAAAAGCATATTTTCCGAGCTAAATTAACATAATTTTTGTTTCATATGCAAAACTTTACTTCCAGCTGGAGCTCCAATTTGTTGCCTGTGTTTCTACAACCAATTTCTGAGCTTAACGAAACTTATTAGTGAGCTTCAATAACTTGGCCATGCTTGCATCCAATATATATATATATACATATATATATTTACAAATCAATAGAGAAAGTCAATAGTAACTTGGTCGTAGATATATCCGGCATATCTTTTTGAGCTTGGGCTGACAACGCGAGTGAATATTTTAAAATTTCAAGTCTCTAGCATTTAAAAAAGTAGCGTTTCTGAGATGTCCCGATGTGCCACGCCCATAGCGGGCATATCGGCAAAATCACAATAATAATAATAATAAGCCTAAAATTCCTAGCACCAAAAGCGGAAAATTCATGCGGATGGACGGATTGGCGGACAGATGGACAGATGGACATGCGCAAAACCAATATACTCACTTTGAGAATAAGTATAAGTAGAGTAAGCTTCGAAAGGTAAAAATCGACTCAAGCTGAAATGCGAATTTCTCTACCTCGACTAAAAACAACTGGCAAAAACAATATTTAATTTTTTAATTGAAATAGAAATTGATGTCTGAGAACCCTTCAGATAGATTGACACATATTTACACAATATAAAATATATATTTTTACTTTACTTTTATAGCAATATATATATATATCTTCATATATACAAATGTGTATATATTTCATTAATAAATTCCAAGAACTTTATTTTTCCAAAATCTGAACTATCCCAGAGCTGTTCGATTATTATCGATAATAAAGAAATGGTTTTACTTATCGATAACTACAATGATATGATAATGATAATGGTATACAGGAATATGTATTTGAATTTTCACGTTCCTAGTTCTTGCGGCTCATGCGATCGTTGCGATCAAACGGACGGAGAGACGGACAGACGAACATAACTAGATCAGCCTAGACCGTAGTTCTGATCAAGAATATAAGAGACCTGCCACGCCTACTTCTGCTGATACATGCATTTTTATAAAACAATAGGAATAAGACTCTTTTGTTTGGTGCGGAGCAAATTGGCGAAATGCACGTGAATCTGTGGGGAAAATTGAACCAAAAGTGCTTAAACAGTTGGGGCGCAGGGCAAAGATTTTTATTGTGACCGAAATGGCTAAAACGCTGATTGGCAGCACACAAACACGCACAGATTGAGTGAGAGGGAGAGAGAGAGAGAGAGGGGGAAAGAACAAAACGCATAAATACTAAATGATTGGAAACATAAAAAAGACGTGAAAGGCGAAATGAAGCAAAGCAAAGCAAAGCAAAGCAAAGCGAAGCAAGGAAGAGAGAGACGAATGCCACATAAAATGGCCGCAGAACGACGTTCGATGCAGGCGGCGCTTCAAAGCGAATTTGCGGCGAGCCTTAGGCGGCCATTGCCACCTTGTTGCCCGGTTAGCAAAAAATTAAGGGTTTTTTTGGGGGCTTGGCTGGTCCTGTGGGTGCTGTGGGTGGCAAAAGATCGGGCGGGGCTCAACGCTTGATTGATTTGTACAACTTTGTGCCAAGTTCTTTTCGCGTTTGAAGCTTTTTCGCTGCTGCGGCTGCTGCTGCTGTTGCTGTTGCTGTAAATTTGTTT